ACTAAGCCACCCAGGCGCCCCTGATACTTTTATGTAGTTTTCTGATCTAAAAAAAAGATCAGAAAAGCAATGCTCTGTTTTCTGATCTCCAGGAATATTTGACTGGTTTCAGGAGTTGCAATATGCGGAGGGGAGTTAGCACAATGTCAGATCTGAAATTGTTCAAGTCAGCAATGAGTAAAGGAAAGAGAATGTCAAAAGTTTGTGTACTCACTGCTCAAGTTTACAAATCTCAACACTACTGTATTTGCTGTCTGACCCTGACTGTCCTACTTCCTTCTTGTAAGGACTCTTGTAATTACATTGGGCCATCTGGATAATCTCCCCATCTCCAATCCTTAGTCAAATCTGGAAAATCTCTTTTGCCATGTAATGTAATATATTCACAGTTTTCAGGGATTAGGAGGTAGATATCATTGGGGATGCCATTATTCTGCTTGATATCATGGGAATACATATCTTTTACTTGACTAGGTGTTAACACATTGCTCTCCAAAATTGTTTAGCTAAGTTTGTCTTCAGTGTAAAAATTGGTCACATTCCTTGTCGCCAACTGGTATTATCAGAGGTAATATTTTTATTACTTTTTGGTATAAAAGACTTTAAATTTTCTTTGTTGTTAGTGATGTATTGTGTAATCATTCTCTTATATTGTAAATCACTATCATACAAGTATACTTTGGATTATTTTGGCTAAAAAAATTTTTTTTTTTTGAGAAAGCAAGCATGAGAGGGGAGGGGCAGAGAAAGAGGGAGACCAAGAAGCCCAGGCAGGCTTCATGCTGTCAGCACAGAGCCCGACGCGGGGCTTGAACTCACGAACTATGAGATCATGAGTAGAAATCAAGAGTCAGTTAATGGACTGAGCCACTCAGGTGCCCCATATTTTGGCTAGGAATATTGGCTCACATTTCTTTGCACTCACATAGTGTTGTGCAGTCTTTTCACAGGTTATTTCTGTGATTGACAGTTTACTAGCCAGAAATACTTAGCATAATCTGCAAACAGTAAGACATTCATCAAGATGAGAAATAAAACCAATATCAGATTTAATGATAATTGAAATTAATCCAAGACTTGCCAGAAAACTACTACTTATAGAATGCTATTCTTTTCAAATGTATCCTTGGTGATTGAGTTTATATATATATATATTATATATATATATTATATATATATATATTATATATATATTTCTAGACTCATTATAATTATATACAGTATAGTAAGGACATTGCTGCTGATTGGTTTCATTCATCAGGAACTCTTTCTGTGCTATCTGACTTACATGCTGTCTGTATCCTTTCTAGCCTGGGCATTTCCCATAGTCTTCTAACTCATTTCCCTTCCTTTAGTGTCACGTACTATCTTTCTAGTGTATACACAGTCCTAGCACATTTCATAACATTTCTTAATTCATGGACCCCTTTTAGAATTTAAAGACCATTGTAGATCCTTTCCCAGTGTGTATATATATATGTGTGTGTGTGTACTCACACACACAATGTAATCATAGTCTCAGAGTGTTCAGAGGCCACATCTAGAGTCGATGTGTCCTGAATTAAAACATCTGACTTGAAGGAGAAAGACGGAACTGGTTAGCCCACAATCCTATTAGGATGCCATTTATGATCTGATCCCTAGATGCCTGCCTCTCTAGATCAATTTCCTACCACTATATCCTGCATTAACATTTTACTACTTGAAATTCCTCAAACATTCTGTGTTCTTATCAGTTGAAGCTAACTCTGAGATTTTCTTATAGGATACTGATAGCTGTTTCTGGATGTCTCATGACCATATTAATAGGTAGAAAACTGTTTATGCCTTTGCCAAATGCTTTACACAGCTTTCATTGATTTTGTTTTCTCAATCTGTACTCTTAGTAGCTATTTATCAGTATGTTAGATTTGAATAGTTTTGATGTCAGCAGCCTTAGACAATGGAAGACTCTTTCATAACATGTAAAAAACACTTTGGGATAATTATCTATTGCTCATTGCCTTCTTTCTTTTCCTCCTCCCTTCATCCTTTTCTTCCTTTCTTCTCATTTCTTGATTTCTTGTAGTGCTTCACAAGTCATAGCTTTTGGGTACTGGGAAATGGGGAAGGTGAGAGCCAGTATAGTTCACTGGTTATGAAGATGTGTTCTGGGGGCGCCTGGGTGGCTCACTTGGCTGTGTGTCTGACTCTTGATTTCAGCTCAGCTCATGATTCCAGGCTAATGGAATTGAGACCCTTGTTGGGCTCCATCATGAGTTTGGGGCCTGCTTAAGATTTTCTTTCTTTCTCTCTTTCTCTCTCCCTCTTTACCCCTACCCCACTTGCACACACCTTCTCTCTCTCAAAAAAAAAAAAAAAAATGTGTCTTAAAGCCAGAAGGACTATATGAATCAGCATCCTGAAAGTTGCAAGTTTCAGAAAATGCATTGCAGATTGGTTTAATTAAGGGCGATTGTTTTCACTCATGTAACCAAAGTCTGCTAATAACGTTCTCCTCAGGTACGGTTTGATCTCAGCTATAGGACCATTTATCTGTGATTGTCTTATCTGTGACCTTATTTTTTTAAGTGTCTTCTTTGAAATACTCTCTTTTTTTAAAAAAAAATTTTTTTTAATGTTTTACTTATTTCAAGGAGAGAGAGAGAGACACAGCGTGAGCAGGGGAGGGTCAGAGAGAGAGGGAGTCACAGACTGAAACAGGCTCCAGGCTCCGAGCCGGCAGTCAGCACAGAGCCCGACGCGGGGCTCGAACCCACGAACCGCGAGATCATGACCTAAGCGAAAGTCGGACGCTCAACCGACTAAGCCACCCAGGCGCCCCTGAAATACTCTCTTGTAGGAAAACGACTGGCCTAGATCTGGGCCTTATACCCTATATCATACAATCTGAAAAAGTACAAAATGTTCTTTTCCAACCCTAGAATGGGAGCCTTAGGATTTATTTTATTTGGAACAACTTAGGCCACGTGCCAACCCCTGTGGTTAAGGAAATCTCATGTACTAGTTGGCTTATAAAGGGATTAGTGCTCATCAATAAAACAATTGTCTTTGAATAATTAAATAAAATTAGCATACTTAACAATGAGTGGGCAAGAATCTTTGAAATCAAGCCCAGGGGCACAGATTCCCAATGCATTAGAGCTGGATGCACAACCAAAATAGCTTGATTGATCAAGAAATTAAATGCATAGTTTAAGACCCTACACTTTACTTGTTAGGTTCTAATCAGAAAAATGTCTACCTCAGATGGTTATGAGTGTTAAGAAATGTGAACAATCTGCAATTCTACCCTACTCCACAAGGAAATAAGTTAGCCTGCCACAATTCATGGCAATACATTTTGCTGGCCAAAGGCACAAGATTCCTCATTCAGATACAGAGGGTTTTATTACACCGATAACAGTGGAGGAGTTTTAGGATTTGCACGAGTTACCTCAGCCCCTATTCCCACAGGGCAGTGCAAAGAAGGCCAGATGATACCTGCACATGCAGTGGGTTGCATCATATAAAAGGGACACCCCAGCCAACATTAGGGAAACTGAACCTTTTATGATGTTCTCTAGCAAACTGCCTGACCTTTGCCTTGGACAGTCATTACCCTTATTATACTGGACAGTAATCAAACCTGCCTTTGGTTCCAGAGAGAGATGGTATTTCTGTCTCTTAAGGCTGTTTTCTACACAAGCATCCTTGAAAACATAGTCTAGAACAAAGACTGTTTTTGCCTTTGCTTGCAAGAGATGCATAAATGTAAGGGGCCTGTCTGTGGAAAATTGTTCCCCAGTAATATCTATCCCACATTTCTGCTCTCTGTCAGGTTCTGGAGACTTGACCCATGAGTATGCTGCACCATGGGCTATTCTAACCTGAACAACAGAGGTTGCTGCAAATCTGTTTAATTCTCTAATAGGGTATTTAATTAAGTCTACTCTGAACAGGATTCTAAGCAGTGTGGTGAGGCCAAACTCATCTTCCAGGGGTCCAACCATACCCTCCAGGGTCTGAAACCTAGCTAGCTGAACAAATGCCATAAAACATCCGGGTCAATGAAAACCTTCTGCTTTCTCCTTAAGTTTCTGTATTGACCTTTTCACTTGGTTTAGCATTGGTGCAGGCATAGCAGGATGTATTGGTGATTGTGTATACTGTGCCTTAGCCAAAAATGAGTAAGTCTAGGGTACCTCTGTCATCCGTGACAGCCTTGGCCAGTGAGCTGAAGCTGACTTGAATGCTTTCCAAGGCCTAGCTGGTATCATTGATCACTTTACCTCAAGTCAGAGCTCCATTTCACAGCACTTTTTCTAATTAGATGGCTCCGAGTATAGGGAAAACTGCCCTCAGAGTGTGCATAAATAGCAAGGCTGTTATGCCGCTGGGCAGCTCCCCCAGGTAATAAGGGAAACTTCATTTTCTATGGATTACAGCGATTTCCTCATAGCCGTGTGATCTAGTGGTGTACTTCTTGAGGCAGTCGTAGGGTTGCTTAAAATTTTCTGTGGCTTCCCATATTTAATAGATTCTTTGAATCCTATGGATTCTGGCCTTTGCCCAACTTACCAGCTTTACTTGTTCTAGCTTCCTTCTCCTTCTCTATTTTCTCTAATTCCCTTATGTTTGCTATGCTCTCTCAATATATAGCCCCTGTACCAGCTGGGCTTTCAATATAAAATGCTGAGTTTCTACTTACTCTCTCTGTCCCCTCCCATCCCCATTATCCTGTTGTACTAGATCTTGTACTTGTGGTGTATTATGTATGTACTGCTTCATAGTACTTAGCATGATCTCAGTTTGCATCTATTAGAGTTCTCTTAGTGTCACTTCATTGCTAAACTCTATGCTCTGTGATGGCTGGGAATACATTTATTGTTGCTTATTTTTATATTCTTGTAGCTTCCTAGCACAATCTGGGAAGTGGCCAGTATTCACTAAATATCTATTAAGTTTATTAGTATTTTTTTAAATTTATAATTAAATATTTGGAAAGGATATTGGTGTCAAGCTCTTGGGCTTCAGACCTGGCTCACCATAGTTGGCTGTAGCTTGATTGGTCAGGAAAGGAGATCTGGGTATAAGACACCCAGTAAAATACAGGATGGCATGGTTAGCCAAGAAAGCAACAATTAGGGTGGGCCAAAGAGACTTTTGCAGCACTTAGGGAAACAGGGCTTAAGCTTGAAGAGTGTAGAATTTGCTTCCTTGAACTCCACAACGGTTCCCTAAATGTGAAGGCAACAGTTAATGAAGAGGCAACCTAATATGTAACTAAATCCCAGGCTACTGGAAGTCTTAACAGAGAAGTTCTTTAAAGACATTTCTTACCGGGCATAGGAAATGGATGTTGGACGATTCTGTTCCTAAGCTGGTTGTGATCCTTAGGAGTTGGATCTGTTCCGCCAAATGAACAATAGTGATATTATTCACTCAAAGCTGCCATTACAAATTGAACTAGAAGTTCTTTTTATTTTACTTGCACTTTTAGTTTTTTACTAAGGTAGTTAATTACTAGGGGATTGATTAGGATAGTTAGTGAAAACAGTTAAAATGTTTACTTTCATTTGTGTCTCCAGTTCACTGTGAGCTCTTCCAAGTCAGGCACTCTCCTTACTCTCTGTGTCTCCATTACCTGGGACAGTGTCTAGGATGTACTGAGTAGTGACTCCATTGGCTTTTGTTCTGTAGGCTCCGGAGAGAGACTGCCTATTTTCATCCAAGCTCTGCTGCTTCTTGCTCTGTAACCATGGAAGTTGACTGAATATCTCCTGGTGTCAACTTCCCTGTAGAGATAATAAAGCTTAGAGGATTCTCAGGAGAGCTGAATATAAGAAGCATTTAAGAAGTGCCTGGTACATATTTAATGCTCAATGAACATTAGCTTTCATTTTTAGAAACAAAGCATCACACTCTCCCTACATTTGGATCAGAGTGTGGGAATCTTAAATCATTTGAAATATTAATACCATGTTAGGACAGGTAGGTAGTAGTAATTGGAAGGTGAGAGGCTTACCTGGGTTATTCTTCAGGGATGACTTGGGGAACCAGAATCTTCTCATGATTTTGTCTTCTCTCTAGAACCTCCTTGGAACTGCATCCCCCTATCCAACTGGTTAATGAGCGAAGAGAGAGAAAGTATGCAGGGTCAAGCAGGGAGATGTAGGGGCCAAGTGTAGCTGTGATAGAATTCTCTTCTACCCATGTTCTATTGGCTAGAATTCAGTTACAGAGCCCCTTGGAGATGCAAGAGGACTGGAGACTGTAATCTTACGTGCCTAGGAAATGCTAGGAGGAACTTCCTGTACATCTATTAAAGATTTCATTAATAATCATCAACTATCCATAATCAGCTTGGAATAATATCATTTGTACCTAACTTAATCTAGTTTTGTTGATGTTGCTCTTGTTGTTTTTGTTGCGTTTGTTTTCACAGATTGACTGGTATGACCATGTCCTGCCTATGGGCAGATACAGTTTGACAGCTGGAAAAACAGTAGGAAAGCAGAGAAAAGAGGGGACCTGCCTCCAAACAGGCACCATGAAATTGTTGGAGCCATGTTATGTCTTGGAAATCATAAGAACTGCAGAGATCTATCTTTATGATGTCTATTGATTTCTCATTAAATTCTCCTTTGATTTAATCATAGTCTTACATAGATCCCATTTTAGACATTGATAAACTCTAGCAGTTTCATATTTGACTTTGAGATTCTAGTTAATCTGAATCTTTATCTAGTAGGAATATATATATGGTATGTCTTATTTATTACCTATATGCTGTATTTATTTATTTATTTATTTATTTATATGCTTTAGCAGTTATTTTTCAAGAGACTTGCTCTATAGGTCAGATGCTATCTCCATTCCACCAAGTAGAGGTACTTAGTTCTTACACTAAGGTAATTGACCATGTTAATTTGACATCCACAGGCTCTTTGGGATTATTTTTAGTCATTCTTTAGTCTCTCTGTATTCTTACTGCATTTGATGAAGAGAGTTTTGGATTCCCCAAGCTAAGAAACAAAAGTGGATGAGTGTCCTCCTTATTGCTTTTAAACCTGAGGGATTATCAGATGCATTACAACTCCATAAAGCTCAAGGCAATTTAATAACTTGCACACTCCAAATCATAAGAACATATAAAACAACTAGGACAGTGACAGCTTAAGTAGGCCATTTCATTTCTAAACACTGAAAAGTAGCAGCACTAGACTGAGTCATAATGGAACTAAAACTCTACTCCTCTACCTTGAACCTTTGTAATCACTGAAACTATTTGTAGCAACTGGCTAGTGTACCTTAAGAGTCTTACTAAGTGCTTTTCTTGTATATCATCAAAAGTATATGTGATATATTGATAGACTTATATGTGGGAAAACTTAGGTCTGGGTCATAAGGTTATGCTAATACTTCTGCCTCTTAGGGACACATGTTTTTATTAACGTAATACCCTGCTGTGGGACCTCTGCTCTGGGAGCAAGAGGCACACAGAGTTGGGGTGCAAGCCTCAAGATTTCTCTTCCTAAGAATTGGCAAAGAGGAAGTCAAACTTCCACTCTTCGCAGATGACATGATACTCTACATCGAAAACCCGACAGACTGTACCAGAAGCCTACTAGAACTGATCCAAGAATTCAGCCAAGTTGCAGGGTACAAAATCAACGTACAGAAATCGGTTGCATTTTTATACACCAACAATGAAGCAACAGAAAGAGAAATCAAGAAATTGATCCCATTCACAATTGCACAAAAAACCATAAAATACCTCGGAATAAACCTAACCAAGGATACAAGAGATCTGTATGATGAAAACTATAGAAAACTTATGAAGGAAATTGAAGAAGACACAAAGAAATGGAAAAACATTCCATGCTCATGGATAGGAAGAATAAATATAGTTAAGATGTCATTACTACCTAAAGCACTCTACACATTCAATGCAATTCCAATCAAAATTGCACCAGCATACTTCTCAAAACTAGAACAAACTATCCAAAAATTTGTATGGAACCACAAAAGACCCCGAATAGCCAAAGTAATACTGAAAAATAAAACCAAAACGGGAGGTATCACCATCCCAGACTTCAGCCTCTACTACAAAGCTGTCATCCTCAAGACAGTATGGTATTGGCACAAAAACAGACACATAGACCAATGGAACAGAATTGAGAACTCAGAAGTGGACCCAAAAGTATACAGCCAACTGATCTTTGACAAAGCAGGAAAGAATATCCAATGGAAAAAAGACAGCCTTTTTAACAGATGGTGTTGGGAGAACTGGACAGCAACATGCAGAAGAATGAAACTAGATCATTTTCTCACACCATGCACAAAAATCAACTCAAAATGGATAAAGGACCTGAACGTGAGACAGGAAACTATCAACACCCTAGAGGAGAAAGCAGGAAACAACCTCCTTGACCTCCACCGCAGCAACTTCTTACTTGACACATCCCCAAAAGCAAGGGAATCAAGAGCAAAAATAAACTGTTGGGACCTCATCAAGATTAAAAGCTTCTGCACAGCCAAGGAAACAACCCAGAAAATTAATAGGCAACCAACGGAATGGGAAAAGATAGTTGCAAATGACATATCAGATAAAGGGTTAATATCCAGAATCTATAAGGAACTCACCAAACTACACGCCCGAAAAACAAACAACCCAGTGAAGAAATGGGCAGAAGACATGAACAGACACTTCTCCAAAGAGGACATCCAGATGGCCAACAGACACATGAAACGATGCTCAGCATCCCTCCTCATCAGGGAAATACAAATCAAAACCACACTGAGATACCACCTCACGCCAGTCAGAGTGGCTAAAATGAGCAAATCAGAGAACTCTAGATGCTGGCGAGGATGTGGAGAAACGGGCACCCTCCTACACTGTTGGTGGGAATGTAAACTGGTACAGCCCCTCTGGAAAACAGTGTGGAGGTTCCTCAGGAAACTAACAATAGAACTCCCTTATGACCCAGCAATAGCACTGCTAGGAATTTACCCAAGGGATACAGAAATGCTGAGGCATAGGAGCACATGTACCCCAATGTTCATAGCAGCACTCTCCACAATAGCTAAAACATGGAAAGAGCCTAAGTGTCCATCAACAGATGAATGGATCAAGAAGATGTGGTTTATCTATACCATGGAATACTACATGGCAATGAGAAACAATGAAATCTGGCCATGTGTAGCAACATGGATGGACCTTGAGGGTGTTATGCTGAGCGAAATAAGTCAGGCAGAGAAGGACAAATATCATATGTTTGCACATATAGGAGGATTAGGAGGAACTTAACAGAGGACCATGGGGCAGAAGAAGGTGGGAAATGGTGTGGGAAAGGGAGAGAGGCAAACCATGAGAGACTCTTGAATGCTGAGAAACAAAATGAGTACTGATGGATGTGGGGGGGAGGAGGGAGATGGGCATGGAGGAGGGCACTTGTGGGGATGAGCACTGGGTGTTATATGGAAACCAATTTGACAATAAACTATTTGTAAAAAAACCAAAGATTTCCTTGATTTTAGAGCGCTCTAAATTGAGATCATAAAACTGCAGTGTGCCTGGTGAATATTTTTGTGTTAGGATTCATAATATTAGGAATAAAGACTCCTATGATTGAATACATTTCCCTCTAAGCCATATTCTTTCATATTCTCTGTCCTAAGAATTCCTAAAAAATGGGCTGAAGTTGAAGTATTGCAGCTTTTATATTCATGGTATCCAAGTAGCTCTTTATTCAGCTGTATTTAGTGACCACATCGAAGAGCTGTTTCAACCAAGTGTATGTTACTAAGATTGTCTTAAAGAGGTTTCTTTATCAGCAGGAAACTTTCACTATTCAGTAAGATGTCAAAGGCATGTTTTTGTGGGTGGGACCTTTCTAGACCTTGTTTGGAACCTGAGGATTTAGAAAGAATGGCAGTGTTGTTCTTCTCTGATTTATTTTTTTCTCGACTGTTATATTTTTGTGTTTTATGTGTGCTCAGCAGCTCTGTGCAGTTTTATTGACTTCTAAACTAAGCAAATAGAATAAACTCTGGTGGTATAAAGTGTTAAGTGAGTGAGCCACAGGGAGCACATTATAAAGGCTCTTCACTCACTCGGCTCTGGCTGCCAATTTGCTTTCAAGTGCAATTCAGGAAGCCGGTTGTGCTCTACCAAACCCTAAATAATCTATGCCATGTTCACTTCAGAAATTAGCTGCTGCTTTTTATACCATCACCACAATTAATCATGGCCCATCATTTCATGTCCTATGTGGGAAGTTTCGGCAAATATTGCACTTGATGAACCCTTCCTATACCCTGCCCCCTTGTTTATAAGGAGCAGTAGTGCAGAGGAGAGGTTAAGAGTTGGTCTATTGGAGACTGGGGTTCAAAATTCAGTTTTACTGTGTAATAGCTGTGGGACGTTGATCAACATACTATGACCAATGTTACTGTTAATTTGAAGAGCAGTGTGTCAGAGACTGTTACAAGTTTTAACACATATGCTTTCAATTATCACTCCTAACCCTATCTTGTAGGCATTATTACTTTCCCCATTTTGTAGATGAGGAAACAAAAAATACTGAACCTCTGACTCTCTGATTCTGCAACTGGAAAATGAGAATAATAGTATTAATATGACAGTAATATGGCAAGGATTAAATGAGATTTTGTATATAATAGTGTTTTTCACTAAGCATGTACTCAATAAGTATTAGCTATTAATATTATGGCCACAGTTGTATTAGGTTTTCCAGATTAACGGAACTAATAGGATATATATATGTTTATCCATTTATTATAATTTATTATATATTGTAGTATAACTGATTAATATAATTAAGATGTATATATGAATATGTTATGTGTGACATAAATAAATACACGTATGCGTATATAAATTTACTGTAAGGAATTGGCTCATGTGATTATGGAGACTGGGAAGTCCCAGAAGTTCAGAGGTGGGCTGGTGGTGCGGGAGACTCAGGTAGAGGCAGTGCTCCAGTTCAAAGGCTGTCAGGTAGTAAAAGTCAATGTTGCAGATGAAGTTTGAAGGCAGTTAGCTGAATTCTCTCTTACCTAGAGGAGGGTCAGACTACAGCTACTCAGACTTTTGGC